CTTGAGCTACAGCGCCACTTCCGGTTTTCTGGTGGTTTATTGGAGATAGGAGTCTCACGGTCTCTCCTGCCCGGGCTGGCTTTGAACCGAACCGCAATCCTCAGATCTCAGCCTCCTGAGTAGCTAGGATTACAGGCATGAGCCACCAGCGCCCGGCCCTGATTCTTTATTGTAATGCCCAAGAATTTCCTTAGCCTTGTTCGGAAAGGACAGGAAGGATATTGATAGATTGTCCTCAATGATCTCTTAAGAATTAGAGCATTGAAAGTGGTGCTGTTGCTCAAGTGGTACAGTGCCAGCCTTGAGTTGAAGAGCTCAGGGACAAGGCCCAGGCCCAGAGTTCAAGCCCCACCACCGACAAAAACAAAACAAAACAAGAATTAGAGCATGAAGCTGCCTGCCTCTCAGCATTTGGCTGGGTCATGCAGGAAGATCCTAAGTTTGAGTCTAGCCTGGGCTACATAGTGAGGCCTTGTCTTACAAAAATAAACGAATGAGCCGGGTGAGTGTTGGTGGCTCACGCCTGTAATCCTAGCTATTTAGGAGGCTGAGATCTGAGGATCCTGGTTCAAAGCCAGCCCCGGCAGGAAACTCCGGGAGACTCTTATCTCCAATAAGCCACCAAAAATCCTGAAGTGGCGCTGTGGCTCAAGTAGTAGATCTCTAACTTCGAGCTGAAGAGCTGAGGGACAGCCCACACACAAAAAAAAGAAGCTCAGAGACCATGCCCAGGCCATGAGTTCAAGCCCCAGGACTAGCAAAAAAAAAAAAACAAATGTTGTGATCCCTTATTATGGAGTTACGTTCCAGAGATTCCCGCCATAGGTGAAAATCCACAAAGTAGCAATAAGTGAGGGACTACTATCTAATGCCACTACTTTGCAGAATTTTGCCTATGGGAGGTGGGGGAGTACATCTCCTGAAGGTAACCCTCACAGTAGGTGGGAGATGACTATTTAGATTACATCTGGAGTCTCCCTGGAAACTGTGAGCAATAGGACTGGGGTAGAGAGCAGCTAATGAGGTTGATCTCCCTAAAGTATACTGGGTGCCTGTGCCCAATCGGAGGCTGAGATCTGAGGATCTCAACTCAGAGCCAGCCTGAGCAGGAAAGTCCATGAATCTCTTATCTCCCATGATCACCAGAAAACTGGACGCTATGGCTCAAGTGGTAGAGCACTTGCCTTGAACTGAAGAGCTGAGGGACAGTGCCCAGGCCCAGAGTTCAAGCCCCATTAACAAAAGAAAAGGATGGAGAGAAAAGTGAATATATGCTAACAAAATATCTTGCTGAGCCATGTGGGTCACACCTGTTTGTAATCCTAGCTTCTCGGGTGGCTGAGATATAGAGGCTAATGATTTGAAGCCAGTCCAGGCAGAAAAGTCCAAATGATTCCATCTCCAGTTAATGAGCAAAATGCCAGAGTAGATATGTGACTCAAATGGTTGAGCACTATCCACGAGCAAGCAAACCATGTGAGAATTGAAGGTCCTGAGTTCAAGCCTCAGTACCACACCAAAACAAAATTGTAACAAGGCACTCACCGTACCCATATTCCTAGCTACTCAGGAGGCTGAGACCTGAGAGTTGTGGTTCAAAGTGAGCCAGGGTAAGAAAGTCCTTGAGACTGTTATCTCCAATTAGCCACCAGAAAGCCACAAGTGGTGCTGTGTTTCAAAGTGGTAGAGTGCCAACCTTGAGCAAAGGAGCTCAGGGATTGCCCAGGTCCTGAGTTCAAGCCCCACAACCAACTATATCTTTGAAAAAAAGGAAAAAATAAAAGTATCTTTGAGGGACTGGAAATGTGGCTTAGTGGTAGAGTGCTTGCTTTGCATGCATGAAGCTCTGGGTTTAATTCCTCAGTACCACAAAATAGAAAAAGCCGTAAGTGGCGCTCTAGCTCAAGTGCTAGTCTTGAGCAAAAGAAGTTCAGGGACATTGCCCAGGCCCTGAGTTTAAGCCCCAGGACTAGGGGGAAAAAAAAGTATCTTTGAGGTAGAAGGTGACTCAGTGGTTTAGTGCTTGCTAGTCTGAGGAAACAGCTGCTGCTTCCTTTTTTTTTTTTTTTTTTCCAGTCCTATAACTTGAACTCAGAGCCTGGGCGCACTCTCTGACCTTTTTGCTCAAGGCGAGCACTCTACCACTTTAGCCACAGCTTCGCTTCTAGCTTTTTGGGGTAGTTTATTGGGGATAAGAACCTCATAGAGTTTTCTGTCCCAGCTGGCTCCAAACTGCAATACTCAGATCTCTTAGCCTCCTGAGTAGCTAGGATTACAGGCCTAAGACACCTGCACCAGGCTTTGCTGCTTTAGCTTTTTTTTTTCAGAAGTGAGGACCAAATTCAGGGCCTTTCATTTGCCACGCAAATGTTCTGCCACTGAGATAAATCCCCAACCCTTGCTTCCTTTCATAATTTGCACGGTTTTTTTGGTTTTGGTTTTGGTTTTTTTTGGGGGGGAGGGTCCGGTCATGGGGCCTGAACTCTGGGCCTGGGCGCTGTCCCTCAGTTCTTCAGCCTAAGGCTAGCGCTCCACCACTTGAGCCACAGCGCTACTTCTGGCTTTCTCTGCTCATGTGGTGCTGAGGAATCAAACCCAGGGCCTCATGCATGCTAGGCAAGCGCTCTACCACTGAGCCACCTTCCCAGCCCTATCCATCTAACTTTCTTTTTGCCTTAGAGTCCTTTGTATATTAAAGAAATAACCTTATTCTGCTGAATGCAATAGAAACCCTTTCTGTCTTGTTTTTTTTTTGGGGGGGGGGAACGCTATCCCTCAGCTCTTCAGCTCAAGGCTAGCGCTCTACCACTGAGCCACCTTCCCAGCCCCTGTCCTTTAGCATTTTTGCTCAAGGCTGGTGCTGTACCACTTGAGCCACACATCTTCTTCAAGTTTCCTGGACTTTCCTGCCTGGGTGTTCTTTGAACCATGATCTTCAGATCTCAGACTCTTGAGTAGCTCGGATTATAGGCATGAGCCACTGGCACCTGGCTTTGAGTACAAATTTTGGCCTAGACAAGTTTTGTTTTGTTTTTTGTCGGTCATGGGGCTTGAACTCTAGGCCTGGGCGCTGTCCCTGAGCTCTTCAGCTCAAGGCTAGTGCTCTACCACTTGAGCCACAGTGCCATTTCCAGCCTTTTCTGTTTATGTGGTGCTGAGGAGTCGAACCCAGGGTCTCATTCATTTGAGACTAGCACTCTACCACTGAGCCATCTTCCCAGCCCCAAGTTTTTTGGTTTTATGCTGGTAAACTGTATGAAGCTGGGGGAGGAAGGGGATAGTGGGAGAACAACAAAGGAGGGGTAACAATGTTCAACAAGAAATGTACTCACAGCCGGCACTGTTGGCTTATGCCTGTAATCCTGGCCACTCAGGAGGCTGAGATCTGAGGATTGCGATTCAAAGCCAGCCTGGGCAGGAAAGTCCTTGAGACTCTTATCTCCAATAAATCACTAGTAAACCGGAAGTGGCGCTGTGGCTCAAGCGGTAGAGCATTTGCCTTGAGTTGAAGAGCACAGGGACAGCGCCCAAGCCCATAGTTCAAGCCCCATGACTGACAAAAAAAAAGAAATGTACTCATTACCTTACTCAAGTAACTGTAACCCCTCTGTACAGCATCTTTACAATAAAATTAAATATACATACATAAATGTATGTGAAGCTTCTTTTATAAAGCCCTTCTGCTGTAGGATCAGTGGTTCATGGTTTCATATTGTGTCTTCCCTCACCGACACATTTAAAGTCTGTTTTGTTGCAGTTTCCTAGGGATCAGCTCTCCTTCCACAACTGGTTTCTCTGATGTTCTTTCATGTCAGTGATACTTGCTTGCTCATTGAAGCTTGTCATACCATGTATTTTTATATATACATATATATGTATATATAAATGTATAGTAATGTAAATTATTTATGACACAAAGCATTCTACCCTTGGAATATTATTTATCCTTCACAATAGATGAGTGAATTCTTTTTTTGTAACTGCAGATAATGATTAAAACAAAAATATTAAAAGACCAGTACTAATTCTCCTTTGTATTAAATATCACTCTGGCTTTTCTTATTTCTGAGTAATCCTATAGAGGACATCCAATTCTCCTATTAAGTAAGTTTAAAAGCAGAAAAGAGCCCTTTTAAAAATTAAAAATTATTATTGAAGTGATGTACAGAAGGGTTACTCTTTCATAAGTCAGGTAATGAGTACATTTATTTTGGGGCAGTGTCACCCAAGACCCCTTTTCTATTGCATAGAAATTCTCCCATCTCTAAACTGTTCAGACTTAAATATTTTCCTGGTGTAAGTGTTTGAAGTCATTGTGGACGTGTTACATGGATTAACCTAAAGTTATTTAGTCTTTTTCTATTTATCTTCAGATTATGGATTGGATATGCCTTCTTCTAGATGCTAATTTTACTGTCGTCCTAATGATACCAGAAGCAAAAAGGCTACTGATAAACCTTTACAAGTTTGTGAAATCCCAGGTTCGTGATTACTATTGAATCCCTATTTTGTTTGTACCCACTTACAGCTTGCTATTCTCGGGGTGAGGGTATCCTCAGTGCTAGCAGCCAAACCAACAACGTGTCCATGGAAAAAGCCTAAGCAGTATTGGTTTATATGTAGAAGTTATGGGGAAAGTTACCCTGAAACTTGTTTGTTTCTCTTTAGATAAGTGTTTATTCTGAGCTCAACAAGATAGAAGTAAGTTTTCGAGAGCTACAGAAATTAAATCAAGAGAAGACAAATAGAGACTTATATTCAATTGAAGTGCTGGAACTCTTCTGATAGCCTGTTTCCTTCAGTGATCTCTTCTGACACTTTTGTGTGAGTCTCCTGCTCCTATGGAAGAAAGGTCTGTTTGTGACCTCTAAGGTGTGAGTATGGGACCATCACAACTTGAGACTCTTGCTCTTTGGTAGACCCCGACTGCACGGGAGACTCTTCTAGATGACGGACATTGTGGGGTTGGGAAAAGCCTGTGAATGTTTTTTTAAATATGTGAGTTAGCTGCTTTTAAGTAAATTTATTTGTGTATTGATAAATGTTTAATTTCTTACATGTTCTTTTTTTTTCGGGGGGGGGGTCTGGTTGTGGGGCCTGAACTCGGCCTGAGCGCTGTCCCTCAGCTCTTCAGCTCAAGGATAGCACTCTACCACTTAAGCCACAGCACCACTTCCAGTGTTTTTCTTTTTGCTTATATGGTGCTGAGGAATCGAACCCAGGGCCTCATGCATGCAAGGCAAGCGCTCTTCCACTGAGCCACCTTCCCAGCCCTGTTTCTTACATGTTCTGAAGCTTTTTTTTTTGTCCATTTTGGGGCCTGAACTTTGGGCCTGGACACTGTCCCTCTGCTCTTCAGCTCAAGGTGAGCGCTCTACCACTTGAGCTACAGCGCCACTTCCGGTTTTCTGGTGGTTTATTGGAGATAGGAGTCTCACGGTCTCTCCTGCCCGGGCTGGCTTTGAACCGCAATCCTCAGATCTCAGCCTCCTGAGTAGCTAGGATTACAGGCATGAGCCACCAGCGCCCGGCTGAAGCTTTTTTAAAAGCAATTTTTTTTTTAATTGTTTGCCGGGCACTGGTGGTTCACACCTGCAATCCTAGCTCAGGGGCTAAGATCTGAGGCTCGTGGTTCAAAGCCAGCCCAGGCAATAAAGTCTGTGATACTCCCATCCACAGTAAACCACCAGAAACCGGTAAGTGGCATTGTGGCTCTAGTGGTAGAGTGCCAGGCTTCAGCTGAAGAGCCCAAGGACAGTGCCAGGCCCAGAGTTCAAGCACCCACAACTGACAAAAAAAAAAACAAAATTATTGTTCTTATAAAGGTCGTGTATAGAGGAGTTACAGTTAACATAAGTCAGGTAATGAGTACAGTTCTTTTTGGACAATATCCCTGTTTTCCTCACAGTTTCCCAGTCCGTCCGTCCCCACACACACACACTTAGACCAACAAGTTACATGGTTCATTTTCAGCATAGTGTCTGCTGAGTGAAGCTTTTTTTTCTCTAATTAAATTTTAAAAATGACCACAGATATTATGAAGGTAGGCAGAGTCAGAAGCTGTCCCAGTTCATCTGCTTGTGGCACAGACCTCAGTGGCAAAGGGATTTTAAAAGAAAAAAGTAGTTAAGCTGAGCACTGATAACTCGTGTTTGTAATCCTTGCTGCTCAGGAGGCTGAGATCTGAGGATTGCAGTTCAAAGCCAGCCCAGGCAGGAAAGTCTCCAATTAACTACCAGAAAAAAGCTGGAAGTGGAGCTGTGGCTTGCAGTAACCTTGAGCAAAAAAGTCCAGGGACAGTGCCCAGACCCTGAGTTCAAATCCAGTAGAGAGAGAAAAGCGGGATATGGTGCTTCCTGATTCCCTCAAAATGTGCATTGTGTTCCTGCTAAGAGAATTATAAAAACTAGGAGACTTCCTGCCTTTTTTTTTTTTTGGTGGGGGGATGTTATGGGGCTTACACTGTCCCTCAGCTCTTCAGCTCAAGGCTAGTGCTCTACCACTTAAGCCACATTGCCATTTCCAGCCTTTTCTGCTTATGTGGTGCTGAGGAATTGCACCCGGGACCTCATGTATGCAAGGTGAGCGCTCTGCCACTGAGCCACCCTCCCAGCCCCGTGCTCTACCTTTGCTTTCTGTTGGTTAGTTGGTTGGAGATAACATAGACTCTCCTACCGGGACTGACTTTGAACTGAGGTCCTCAGATCTCAGCCTCCTGAGTAGCTAGGGTTTCAGGCGTGAGATACCACTCAGCATCTTCCTGCCTTTTATGTACTTACTCTAGAAGAGACCTCAAATCAAATTGAAGTTGGAGTATAGGGTTACTTTGTGTTCTGGTGAGAGTTCATAACAGATAGTAGTACATCCTATTGGAGCTCTGCAGAAGGGGACGTTGTCTACAGTAACTTCCAAGCTTGATTTTATGAAACAGTAAACTCCAAAAGTTATTGGGGCTGGGTACCAGTGGCTCACACATGTAATCCTAGCTACTCAGGAGGCTGAGATCTGAGGATCATGGTTCAAAGCCACTGGGGTAGGAAAGTCCAGGAGACTCTTATGTCCAATTAACCACCAGAAAACTGGAAGTGGAGCTGTGACTCAAAGTAGTAGAGCATTAAGCAGAAAAACTCAGGGACAGTGCCCAAGCCCTGAGTTCAAGCCCCATGAAAGATACTGGGGCCCAATGTGATATTGACAAGATTTCATTTTGTTAATTAACCATTAAGAAGAACTCTCTTGGGACTGGGGATGTAGCTCAGCGCTAGCACCCTTGAGGCCCTGAACCAACCCAGCACCACAATAAACAACTCATTATTCTTTCTTAGTTCCACAGGGCAGCAGTTATTCAACTTCACTTAGAGCCCCAGATTTGAAAGAATTAGAGATAGGCTTTGACTGGGTAAGATTTGTAGGAACAATTCAGTATTAAAAACATTCAAAACAAAGCTGAGCACCAGTGGATCATGCTTGTAATCTGAGCTCCTCTGAGATCCAGAAGATCATGTTTTTATGCCTCCAGCAGAAAAGTCTGAGGCGCTTTTGTTTGTTTGTTTTCGTTTACGCAGTGTTCTATACCTTGAGGCGGAATGGCTATGAATGGGTTTCTGAGTTTCTGTCTCATCATAAAGATGGTATCAATCAGTTCTAACTTTTTTTTTTTGGCAAATTCTTTATTGTGATTAAGTGATTACATATTTTCACAAATTTTACAGTATTGTGGGATAGTGATGCTTAGTTAAATTCACAAACACATTCTAACTTTCATGGGGCAAATTGTCTATCGTGGTCTATAAAGTTTGTGAGTTCTATGAGCTTTGACAATACAGTTATTTCTTCCACATTGGGTGATATTTACATTCCTTTAGTTCTGTCTTTTTTTATGTTCAGTCATGGGGCTTGAACTCGGGGGCCTGGGCGCTGTCCCTCAGCTCTTCAGCTCAAGGCGAGCGCTCTCACATTTGAGTTATAGTGCCACTTCCAGTTTTCTGGAGGTTTATTGGAGATAAGCATCTCAGGGACATTCCTGCCCGGGCTGGCTTGAACCGAGATCCTCAGATCTCAGCCTCCTGAGTAGCTAGGATTACAGGCATGAGCCATGAGCACCCAGCAAGTCTGAGAATCTTAACACCAAAATAATGAGCAAAAAGCCTGACTGGATGTATGGGTCAAGTGGGAGAGCTCCAGAACAGTGTGTGCAGTGTGTGTGTGTGTGTTCCTTATCCTCAGGAGTAAGGAGCTCTGGCCTTTATCCATGGCTCCTCAGAGACATCACTACATCACTTTGAGCCTTGAGTCTGTCCTGACTTCTCTCTGTTCACCTGGAGCTTTGAGGCACACCAGAGGCTGATGGTGGTTTGTGGTGGGAGCTTTGACTCCACCTTGGAGAGGCTGAAGACAAAAGGTTATGTAGGAATCATCATGTCTCCATGAGTGAGTCAAGGAAAAGCACATCAAAGCCCCACTGAGCTCTTCCTGCTGGCACGGCCTCAGACACATCATCGTACATCATTACCAGAAAGTGAGTGCTGTCTGTAGTCCACTAGGAGAGGGTACCTGGGAGCTAGAACTGTGCCCTGAGCACGGTTGTCCGGTCTTGCACAGTGAGTTCTGTACATCTGATCCTGTGGGAAAGCTTGGTGAGTCCTGAATTACAATTGGTGCCATAGAGAGAGGTGGGAAGAAGCTGGGGTGTCTAAGCCTCCAGCACTCAAGTGGCATACTCTTAGTTACGAAGATGACTTACACTTGATCTCTGCCTTCGAGTGTCTCACATGCCGATGGGGAAGTTTCCGTACTTACCCAGAAAGCAGAAGTAGATAGCATGGAGGGCAGGCTGGGGGTGTAGCTCAGGAAAGCTCCTTCTCAGTATGCATGAGGCCTTGGCATTCTCTGCCCATCCCAGCACAAAAATAGAAAGGGGGCATGTATCTGTGGTCCCATCACTCAGCAGACAGGTTGATGGAGACCAGAGTGTTTCAGGTCAGTCTGGAACATAGACTTTAGAAGGAAGAGGGGTGTGGTAGGAGGAGGGGGAGGAGAGAGAAAGAAAGGGAAATGAGGAGGGAGGAGGCTGTGGACCTTTGGGGAGGGTGGCACCAGGGGTTTGCCCTGTGAGTTGAAGAAAACTTGAATTGTGGGTATGGGCAAGAAGGGCACTTTTTGGTGGTGGTGGTGGTGGTTGTGGGGCTTGAACTCTGGGCCTGGGTGCTGTCCCTCACTTCTTTGTTGTTGTTTTTTTGTCAGTTGTGGGGCCTGAACTTGCTGCCTGGGCGCTGTCCCTCAGCTCTTCAGCTCAAGGCTAGTGCTCTACCACTTGAGCCACCGGGCTACTTCCGGCTTTTTTCTTTTTTCTTATGTGGGCTGAGGAACCGAACCCAGGGCCTTGTGCATGGGAGGTGAACACTCTACCACTGAGCCACCTTCCCGACTGTCCCTCACTTCTTCCACTCAAGGCAAGTCCTCTGCCACTTGAGCCACAGCACCACTTCTGGTTTTCCTGCCCGGGTTGACTTTGAACCACGATCCTCAGATCTCAGCCTCCTGAGTAGCTAGGATTACAGGTGTGAGCCACCAGCACCAGGCTCTGAAGGGCACTTTCAAAGGAGGGTATAGCATGAGTAGTCACAGAGCTAGTATTAGGGCATTTCCTCGGGGAACAAGAGGTGATGGGGAGGACCAGTCCCTACTCCTGAGAAATTCCTCCCTGTAGATTCAAGGACAGGAGACACCACCCCTCCAACAGTCCAGGTGACATGGATACCTGCCGCTCTAATCCTAGCCTCTCAGGAGGCTGAGACCTGAGGATTGTAGTTTGAAACTAGCCTGGGGAATAGCTCAGGGGTAGAGTGCTTGTCATGAGTTCTAACCCTGCTTCCTAAGAAAGTGGAAAAAGTTATTTCTCTTAAGACAAACAGCCAGGTGCTGGTGCCCACACCTGTAATCCTAGCTACTCAGAAGGCTGAGGTTGATGGCTTGAAGCTAGCCAAGGCTGGAAACTCTTGAGACTCTACAATTAAACACACACACGCACGCGCACCAGAAATGGAGCTGTGGCTC